AAAGAACATTTGGTGACCATGGCTTGTAATTCAAAAAATTCATGCACAAAGTTTATTATATTTTAACATTACTTTCTTTTTTTACTCGGAAAAATTGTGATACAGTATTTAAACATCAGTTTGATTATTTTTATTTGTATCGACATGTATTGATCGTCATTTCAGCTCCCGGTGAAGTCTCTGTTAATGTTGAAGATGAACGATCAAAACCCACAAAGTTGTTCATATCTTGGTCAGCACCTAGGGTGGTTTATTGCCCGATATTTCAGTACAGGATAGAATATAAACTTACTCAACTTGATCAATGTCAGGACCAAGGTAATGAATTTGAAGTCAGTGTTGTGGATAATACAGAAAAAGAATACACCTTATCGGAACTTACACCATTTAGCACTTATGCGGTAGTTGTATCAGCTGGAGTAGATGGAATCAATGATAACACAGTATTCACTCCTGGTCTTGTTGGTTTTGGCAATACAACATTCACAGGTTAGAACTTCTAGATTAAAACAAAAAGCCTGTTAGACGAGCATATTTGAAAAAAAAAAAAAAAATCACAGTTACTATTTGTGAATTTTGTATAACTATTCCTTGATTAATTTTAGATGCTACTGCACCACCACAAAACATAATTAACCACCAAATAGAGGATGCACGATCACTGAAGTTCATATGGGAAGAAATTCCTTGCGGTGACAGGAGAGGTCCTATAGTAAAATACAACTATATTCTGGAAATGAATTCCAGTATTGTGATACAAACTACTGTTGTTAAACCCAGTAAAGTGATAAAAGACCTGATTCCTTGTACCACATACACATTCATAGTGAGTGGCAAAGGTCCTGGGGGCCAAGGTCCATTCAGTGACGGTATTGAAGCAAGAACAAATGCAGAAGGTAGTATTTCTTGTTTATTTCTAAGGCCGGCCACTCACTGAGTTGTACGACCGTCGCACGACCAATCCCTGTGAGCGCTAGATGACGCGACGCCACCAACTGATTGACGGTGGTCATCTGAACGTCATTAAAAGCAATTATCAGTTGCCCACGCGTCATCGTGTTGCATTGTTCGACCGTCGAGCGCAGTGTGTGTCCGGCATAATGGTTTAAATTTGTAGCTGTAGAAAACTAAGATTGGGTGATAGATATTTTAAGGGTGGGTTGGTGATTACAATTAATGAAATAATATGGGTGGATATTAAAGATGGAAAAGTAGGATAATAAGGGTGGGTGGAGGGCCAAGAAATTTGCTTTAGACTGGGTGTAAACTTCAAGGCTGC